ACTGTTAGTAAATAAATTTTCTTTGGTATATTCTATTACCAGCAAATATTCAGTCTTCAGTACACCCTTCGTGTTTTCCAGCTAGTCTCCAAAGGGAATGGGGAGTGACAGAAAACTTATCTGCACAGTCCAGCATTATAAACCCCACTTTCTGGGACCTTCTTTGCTCACAGTAAAGGCCAACTCAGCTCTGTCCACTCTTGTCCTCTACACAGCATTTTGAGGAAGCTTCTGTTAAAATGACTGATTTGAGATATCAGTGCCAAACAAGTTTGGGTAAGAAGACACAGTTTTAAGATTTGGTGACAGAACTTTCTGAATTTTTTGAAAATGCCAAACAAGTTGATTTGAATGTTTTATGCTGGCAAAGTACTTTAAATGCATACCAAAACCAGACTCTGAGATTCATCTAGCCTATGGCAGTGTTTATAAACTCTTCAGTGATTTCTAAGCGTAAATGCATTACCAGGCTGGGAATGGAGAGCTTCACGAAGGACAGATTGAATTTCCTCTTCCAATTCTATGTCAGCAGTCTTGTGATCTAAAAGGATTATAAATTGCAGTGAAGGTAAGCACAAAAAGCAAAATCTAAACATTAACTCAAGGCTTGCAGCTTTTAGTAGACTCCATAATGTTCTTAATACCTTTCACAAAGTTCCCTAGAGACTGACCTGGTGAACCTCTGCAACTCATACAATTAGAAAAACAATTTTGTCTTGCTTATTCTCCAGTATAGAAAGTATGCATCAATCACATCAGATTCATCCATCTGAAGATGAATTGGAAGAATTTATCTACATTGCATTTTTTGCCTATATATTTTTCCAGGGGTAGTAACAACGTCAGGTAATTATTCAAACCAAGAACTCTCTTCTACGGAATTGATTTACTAACACTTTCATCCATTATCTTCCTACAGTTTAGGCAGCAGCACTAGCAAGTCATATCTGACAACAAAATGTGAGTTGAAGTAGGGTCCTGTCAACTTCATAAATAGGGAAAATAGATACATTACAATATCAAGGTCTTGTTCTGCTACGAACTGCCAGGAGAAATCACAAACTGGTTTCATGGACAAGCGATTGTCATCCAACACACCAGCCCAGGACATAATAGGAATTTGTATGAAGTGTTGTCTTCATATAAATGTCCTGAAATTAACATTGAGAAACCCTACAATGACACATCTGACAAAAAAGCTCTAAACCAGGTAAACAGCTGCATTTTCAAAATGGCACCAGTTATGAAAAACAATCCCAAAAAACCAAAAACCACATACACACAAAAGAAAGCCACCCAACCAAGAAATATGATACATTTTATAATTCATATCCTAAGAAAAGTAATGCAAATATTTTGAAACAAAATCTATATTCCATAGATTTCACTAGCCATATGCTCTGTATTTGTATGTATGTATGTATGTATTAGATTCACATAAACATCACACAGGATAAGCCTCTTCAATAAACAAGAACAAGTATTCTCTGAGTAACACTAATGCAAATCACATATGTGAAATGCGATGTGTAAAACATTTTTTCTTGAATCCCTCTTAATTTTAATACATTCTACTAATAGTATAGGGCTTTAAAAATATTTAGATTATTTTTTAACAGCAGGAGCTCAGTTTATTGTATTTATTATATACTAGTAGTTTTAGCAGAAAAGTGAGTACTTTATTACCTTACTAAGTTGGTTGTGAGAGGGTTTTGTTTCTTTTTTAAGGTGAAGAATCTACTGTTATTCTGGTTGGATATACAGATGGAAATCACCACAACTATACATCATCAGAAGCTATTCTGATGTGATAACCTACAATGGCAACCATGAAGTTTTACAACTTTCATGGTCAGTGATTTATATGAAGTTATAAACAACGATTCCTGTTAAACTTCAGTAGATAAGCAACACAAAAACTAAAAAAGAGTCTGCATGTTAATGACACAGAATTATAGTGCAAATGAAGCATCATGCATTTTGGCTCGCCTCTGATTCACAAAAGGTCTTACCTGGTTCGACATATGACTTTTCAGCAGGCTGGACAGTCTCCTCAGATTCTGGTGATGTTGGCTGTGCTGGGACAGATCTTTCTTTAAGGCCTGCATTTTTCAGTTATAAAGTTAACTTTATGCCCTTTTTGAACTGATTCAGTTATAAAATAAGAAAGTTCTTTCAATTAAATTAAATTATGTTACACTCTCCAAAAATGCATTCAAACAACCAATTACAGGGCTGTCATAATATACAGTGATCTATAAGAAGACTAAAGCATATTCAGATAGTAAACAAAGATGTTTAAAAGACAAACATACAACGAGGAGGTAAAAAGGGACAAAAATTTAAGCACTTGCTTTTATTTCAAAGTAATTGAACAAATGACCATGCTATTCTCAACATCTATTCAGTAAAAAATTAGGCAGCAAATTTTTCTCTGTTTTCAATTAGGCAAAAAGTGCTTCATATGATCAATTTTATAGGTTCTATGAAGAACTAATTTGAACTTTACAAAACCCGCAAAGAATAAGTACTTTAAATTCATGTGTTACATCTTACAAGACCCGATTAAGATTAGTTTGTTTTGACAACTGACTATAGAAAAAGTGTGACTGATGGAATTTTGCCTAAGATCGTGACTATCTATACCACAGTCTCTTTCTAGATCAAAACACAATGAAAAGAAAGCAATCAATAAATGTACTGATCAACACCACCATCATGGCAGGAGATAAAGATACAGCTGTGATAGATCACGTCACATCTTAAGACACCATATGATCCAGAATGTGTTAGTATTATACTAATTCTCCTCTCAACTACCCTTTAGGAGGGTTCAAGCAAGACTTATACAAGAGCAAAAGAAAATAACCACACACCCACATCCTCCCACCACTATGAGAGCAGTGAAATCAGTGGAAAAGACTGCACACAGAGGCTGTGCATTCCTATCCTCAGAGGTTTGAAAGACCACACTGGGAAATGGCCAGACCAACCTAGTCATTCCTCTGAAAGGACCCTGTTTTGAACAGGATGTTGGAATAAGGATCTCCCAAAGTCCCTTCCAAATGGCATTTGCTAATAATCCTACATCCAAGGTCAATTAAGATAAGACTCCCTTCTCAACAACCATCACTGCCCAAAGCAAACTAGTTTTTCAACAGCTGTATACATGCAAATCAATGGAAAAGATAGAATATAAGAAAGCAGAGGCTAAACTATAATGAACACTCCTGTGGTACTAGCAGTCTTGTAAAAGCAACTCTCAAGTGAATAAATATTACATTTCAAGTAAGTACAATTTAAAAAATAGTAATTACCACATTTCTATTGGAGTCAAACATATCTCAATGTAAATTGAACTAGTATGTCTCAAACCAAATTTTCGTAGACTAGAGAGAGATCTTTTATCTTTTTATATTATTTAAATTTAAATTATTTGAAGCTAGGTAGGTAGACTGTATCCAAAAGTAGTGTAACTAGGAGTCCACCATTTTGGAGTCAAAATAAGAAGCTAAAGAAAAATGACAAATTTACACTTCATTTTTGGCCAATTTTCTTCTGTCATTAAAAAAACACACACTTAGAATATGAAAAAATATTATTAAATATTAAATATGAGTATTAAGCGTCAATATTTAATATTATTAAAATATTTAAATATTTAATGTTTTGGTATTAAAATTAAAGATTATTACTTTATAATAATAAAATATTATTGCAAATATGTAATATTATTATAACATATATACTTTCCTGCAGGACTATCAATGGCTACATTAAGAAGTTACTTCCTTCTACAATCATTTTAGGATGGAGACAAAACTAGTAAGTCATATTAACCACTCTCACACTTCAGAATCCATAAGCATGGAAACAGTCACCTTGCTTTCACAAACACAGTTCAGTTACTTTACACATACACTGCTTTAAGTAAGTAAGTCTTTGTGTCCTCAATAACCCAAGTCCATGTTCAGATCCAGACAACCACACACTCGGCTTCATGAACAATAAATGAATTCAAAACATTTCAAAAGACAGCCAATATTCCACATCAAACAAGCTTTATGGCTACTTAACAGGAAAGAAGGAACCAACAAGAGCGTCTTTGTTTCACTTGCACATTTCTAAACTTAACCTTCAAGCTTTTTGTACATGTCTATTGTGCTTAACCCTGATTTCAATTCAATCTTGTCAAGTATGTAATATACTAAATAATTTACTTTTTATAAGATATTATTTTCTCTCTTCTGTTTATTAATATTGCATTTAGCTTTTACATGTCTGGTGCATTTTTTGAGCTTATGTGGCGACTTGTTGCATTAAGTTTAATGACAATAATATTTAATAGACATACAGAACAACACAACAGATCTCTGGGGCAAAAATACTTTATTTTGTGGCTGTCTGTATAGCCCGGAGTGCTGCTCAAATAAAAATTTCTTTGGAAAGGAAAAAAATAAAACAACCCAACCTTTCCAGAACTCCATAAACTTTGGGTCATAGATAAAATATGTTAATCAGAACAGCAATTCATTTGAACTTTCACACCCACACAGTTACAAGTTCTGGCACATTACAGGAGAAAATAAAAAGTGATGTGCACTATACTATTGTGCCACCATCCTTGAGAAGTGTGATTTTAATGCTCCTCTGGTCAAATATGCATTTTAACACTTACCAGAGCAAGGCTGAAAAGGTATACCTATCATCACCAAAACCTAACAAAGAATGTTCATTATGGAAATGGATTTACTAGATCTTCATTCTTTTGTATTTTTTGCTAGGCACTGTAATGCCTAGCATTGTAATGCCTAGCACTGTAATGCCACTGTAATGTTCACAATGCACATCTCTTCCCTCCTTCTTCATGAATTTAGAAAATACCTCAGAGTAGATAATCTTTGTTAATTATTACTGCCAGAATCATAAGATACTGTACTGCTTTCTACAGCTCTAATTTGAACTACTTTTCACAACTATTTGAATATTTCATTTTCTCTAAAAAAAAAAAAAAAATCCAATAATCTTTAACCTTATTATCACATAAATCTAGGGATCAAAGCATGATGAAGACATATGTATGGAACGGCTGAGCTAAGTGTATTGCCAACTGTTATACACAAAATTTTAGCAAAACTACAAACAGAATTAACCTTCAGGACTTCAATCTTAAATTACCATCCACATGCATATATATACTCACTCTCAATTTCACTCCTTCATTTTGTTTTCTTGAAACTAATGCTGCGGCACTTCAAAAATCAATCTTAAACTTCCACTACAAATTTTGTTCTGAATTCTGTGTAATTATATTGTGCAGTTCCGTACAATATACTTGCTTTCAAATTTATTTGAAAATATTCATTTCTAGATAAACTTGAAAGCAACCATAGATTCAAGAATAATTTGAGATCTCTCTATTATCTCTGCAAAAATCTTTTTGCAACTTTATTTATTCTAATGAGACTGCTGGATAAATCCTTCCATGATGCTGAAAATACAGAAGCTGTAAGAACAAACTAACAGAAGACTTTGTTTATAAAAGCATCATGCACTTGAAAGTGTTGAAGTAGATAATAGCTGCAAAATATATAAGCTGTTCTCTAAACAAGTTCAACAAGAATAGCGTAGTACTAGCATACCACATCTTAAATGTAACTGGAATACAACAATATTTATCAATGATGAAATAGATGGCCTAATTTTTATCAGTATTCCCTTACCAAAAGGTTGGCAAACTTGAAAAAAAATCAGGACACAGTTAAATAAAAAGTGATAATGAATCAAGCTTTCCAATACAAATATAGAGAAATAAGTAAATAGGGAATTGAAGAAATGAAGAAATATATTGTCATGGGATCAAAAGACAAAAATGTTGAAACATTTTGATTGCGTATACCCTGGGGTCTCATGATAAAGTGCAAATGTCAAGTTGGTTTGACTATTTGCATGCAAAATATTTTTCTCAGGAAAAAAACCAATTTCCTTAGGGAAAAAATTTGGCAAAGAATAAGTTATATTTATTTGTTTAGTTCCTACAACACTACAGTCCATAAATGCTCCTCTTGCTTGTTTCTGTGAAATAGAAATATTTTATGAATTTCCACTATGTGTGTCCAGATAAGCCTATTAATATTGCTTTTAAACTTGCATTTCATATAGAACATTAGACTTTCACCTCCAGATCAGGCAAATACAAGTGAACAAGGAAGGAAAAAAAAAAAAGTCACAAAAACCCAAACCCATATTTAGAGCAGACTTGAAGTAACTGGCATCAATTTGACATTTGAATGTTTTAAATACACATTGGTAGCCAGACTATTAATTATTAAAATTACAACATTAACATATGTACACACTTGAGTTTCACATCAGATGTTTCTGCATTATGTTTACAATACCAGTACACACTGAACAGTTAAAAAAAATATTATATATAGCCTTTGTTCACACTTATTTCCAGAAAACATTATTTTCTTATTGCCACATTCATATAAATACTGAATTTTACATTCTTGAGGTCTGTTCCTCATTAGCAGAACAGGAAGTCTTGTTTATTTCTTTTCTTTCTTGTCTTCCTTGGATTGGCTTTTAACTATCTTTTTTGTTTCTTTGTCTTTTCCCACCTGAACAGTGCCATCCTTTTCACTGGCTGACCTTTTTGTAGTCTCCTTGGATTTTATACTTTTGTCTAGGCCTTTTTCCTTTCCTCTGTCTCTTTTAGTCTTGTCAGAATCTTTCTTTAATTTATTCACATCAACAGCTTTCTTGTCCTTTCGATCAGTAGCATCTTTTCCTTTCCTGGTTTTCTTTTTTTCGTCTTCATTTTCCTCCTTCTTGGATTCCTGTTTCTCCCTTAATTTCTTGAGTGATTCTTTAATAGCTTCTTTTACTTTTTAGTTTTTCATTTAAAAAAGAGGAAATGTTCAATAAGAGAACCATTCTTAGGCCACAAATCATCTTATGAACAACCATGTACAAGCTTTGATCAAATTATTATTTAATGCTTGTTAGATTTAAACTTGTATAATTAACTCCTAAGCTTTAAGCAACTTCCAACAAATTAGTTTTGACTTTTAGGAACATCTCACACCATGCAGCCAGCAAATAACCTAGGCTTATATGGCAGCTGCATCCAAATGAAGTGTTAATCTAGAGAAGATGATGCTTCTATTATCTTACTGCTAACTTCTGCAGAATCCTAAAACCACTTTTGCCTGTGAGTGTGAAAATCACAATAAATTTTGAACCTTTGACAACAGCTTAACAGTTATAAACGTTATTAGATAAGTTTATCATACAATGTTTTGCTGATATTGCTACCTCATATTAAGTAAAGACTTAAGAAAGATAACTGAAGTACCTGTTGAGAAGTATATGTAAGAAGAAACACCAATGTCCTGATTACTTACATCCAAAAAAGTTAGCTGGGTTAGACTAAACTCAGCTAAATCAAAGCAATAATTGTAAATTGGTTCTTACAACTTTGCTTTTCAGTTATCAGTAACATTTTTTTCTTTGTTTTACTTTTGGAGTTGTGTCACCTGTGCTTCTTTTCTCTACTTCAATTCACATTTAGCTTTGAAAGGGTATACAGATAATATATCATAAGAACAACCAGAATCCTTCAAATTTATGTTCAATGTTTACTTCCGTTTTGCCATAGTTTTGAAAATATTTGTCAGTACCAGTAGAATTCTCCAGAATAAGGAATTTTTAAGTCAATAAAATTCAGAGGTTTTTCCATTAAATCTGTATGCAATATTTGCATTTAATTTTGAAATAAATACTCCTACATTATTAAGAAGGTGATAATAACTTTTACATATAAACAGCTCTATTTTTATTCAGATTTTTGACAGAAACTGCAGTCTGTAGAGGCAAAAAAGCAGGACTGCCTCTAGGTGCTGTGTAACATTTCTGTGGAGTGAACAATTTGATTAAACAGCTCAGTCTAAAAGGAATGGCATCATCTTTCCTTCCAAATGTTTTTTTACATAAAACATTTGAAATATGCTATTTCTTTATTCTCATATAAAACATTGAAAAATAATCCAAAACTCAGGAAAGAATTGCTATGTTACATTTACTACATTCTTTGAAACATGCAGTTTGCAACCAAGTTATACCAAGCACAATGTGGAACAAATGCTAAAAATTTCAACCTGATGCAAGATACTGAGAAAAGCCACACTGAAATGAGCAGCAAACTTTCCTTAGCAAATACATTTTTTTCCTCGTGAAGGTTTGTATGGTTAATAGCATCCATTTTTCACATATTGCTAGGAAAATCCACCTTGCAGTCTATATGTGATTAATGTAATACAGAGACTGTTTCCATAGCTTCATGCTGTCTGGAGATAACTGAGCAGATATAAAAAGCTACACCGGAAGTACTCCTGGTACTTTGGTGTGTGTTGAGGCTAATAAGCTTTTTTTGTCTTCAACACTGTGACCTGTTCATACAGCAATGTAATTATAAATAAATATATGGCATAAATTGGTTGCAAACTCTCCCATGTTAAGCTTTTAGAAAATGTTGCAATCAATCCCACAAATAATATTAAAGGGGAAGTTACTGAACTTTGCCTAAATTTCAATTCCCACAGCAAAAAAAAAACCAGATGAAACTATTAAAGTACAGCCTTAGAAGAATTAAGGCACTCGAGTCCAATTACAATATAGTAACGGTACCATGAATTCATGGAAGATAACAAAGAGAATTCCACATGGAGCAAAATCTTAATTAAAAACATGCAGAATATCAGGTCATCATAAACTACAATCCAAACAAGACATCTGTTGTAGAAAAATCCACACAAACAAAATATAATCTCTAGTTAGGAAGCACTAGCATTGCTACTGGATTTCAATCAGTTGTAAAAGAAAATACTGAGAAATTGCAAGAACAATAGTTTGCTGCACCATTAGAAAATATTTAGCCAACATAGCTAGTATTAGTAAACATTATAACCTACAGCTGGTGTTTGTAATGCACATGCATTTCATACATCATTATCTGCATAAAGTTTGCATGAAAAAAAACACCAAAAATACCTTTGAGTTTAGTTTTTTTCTTGGCTACCCCTCCTGGCTCCTCACCTAATTAGTTGCAAAATGGAAATAGGTTATGAACATATTTGTGATGTTTAATGAATTGACATGAAATTTCCCAACTTGCCATGTTATGTAAAGAGTGCACTTTACATAGCACATTACAATGCTATGGAGAAATATAAAATACAATCTCTTTAAAATACAGCAACTTCAGTTGCAGGACCATTACAAGTACTGATACGAAATACTAACTAATCAAAGAAAAATACCACATTACCAGATGCTACTTTTGAAGCATCTGAACTTGGAGATTGCTCAGCTCTCTCCAGACAAGTGCTGCCACATAAGAATAACTGATACCCCCTCTGATTTCTCTGCAAAATATTTGTCAGTTCCCTCTCAAAAACAGTAATTTATGTTTATATAAAATTTTATAAATAATATACATAAATATTTATATAATATATATAAATAAAGTTTTATAAATATTTTATAAATATTTTATAGACATATTAAGTCAAAAGGTCTTCAAGTACACATTGAAGAGTGTATAAACTGACTGTTTTCTTACACTAAATTACAACATGACTATTTATTCAAAGTAAAATAAATGTTTTGGCAAACGTTTTGCTTAGATCCAAAAAACAGTTACCAGTTCATTAGAATTAAAATACTTAACTGCATTACTTCAGGCTTCTTAAAACTGTTAGTCTTCTTTTCCCACTGTAGCTAACAAACTGAGGGCAGTCAGCTTCTTGATTGTACTTCATAGCTAGTACCACAAGAGGCATAAAGGCAAAAGCTTTTCCAAAAATACGAATAATATTTAGCTTCATCTTTTTAATACCATTAAAAGAGACTGGATTCACTATCATGATGCTGTGGATTAAGACTTAAATCCCACAAACACAGCAATTTTAACCACAAAAGTCATGTAAGTTGCTACCTAAAAGCCAACTAGAAAGTAAAGCTGAAAAGATACAGTAAGTATTACTGTAAAGTATTACAGTACAGTATTTATTTTTAAACTCATACATAATCTTATTAAACAAGAAGAGATATTCCCATGTCTCAACACTAGGCTTCTCATTCAGACATACAAAACACCTACACTGAACATCTGCACCATGAGCTTAGGTTTCCAGAAAACAGGATCTATCTAAACTGTGTCATATATCAACACTTAATCTGAAAAAGAAAAAAATACTTTGATAGCCTATACTAAAAAAAATGAAATAATAAATTCAAATAATTTAATGTAAAGTCATTGTAGTCACCTTGCATCTAACTTCTATACTAAACGTTTTCAAAAAATCAAGCGTTGACATTATGGCCAAAATTGTTTTAAAAAGGGTTAGTCAAGTAAAAATACAGCCTCTAGATTAATTTCCTTACAAATTCATACCTGGGATAGGAGTATTTCAAGCTCTTCCCTCAGAGATTACCACCACTGCTAAAATCCAGAGCTCTAACGTGACTAAAATCATTATTGGGTCTTACTATTTCTAAGCAGTGCATGGAAGAATAAGTTAACTTTTTTTTTATATAAAAGGAAAAATAGACTCCAGCTTTCATTTACATCTAAGTGAAAATATAAACAATAAAATGTAGTCAGAAAAGTTGCACAAAGCCTTATTTAAATTTATAACTCCTCCCCTCTTTTCATATTAAAATTAAACATTACTGGATATTTTAAGATACTCTTAAAAGCATGTGTTGACAAAGAAAATTATAAAATTTTACAAGTATCGGTATACACAAAAAATATCATACAGATATTTCAAATTATTTTAAAATAAACATATATGCACTATATTGAAAGATTACGAAACACCTTATTACTAATTATTGTTATTTCATTTGTTAAATATTCACACAAGTAGTAATTTTGTTTCAATCTGCTGTTAGGCAATGTGTAACACTAAAGTTCTCAGAAAATTTTCAATTCATGACATAACTGCACAACTCATATAAACTTTAACATATTAATAGACCTGTTCAAAAGAGAGGTAAGTAAAATAATATATTTTAAAACATTAGTATTATGAGATAATCACAAGACCTAAATCTTGATTTCTACCTGGATATGATCCCTGCAAGGGGAAATCCCTACAGCACAGGGAAGACTTACTTGTCACCCCCAATTATGCTAAAGCAAGACGGGTGCAAACCACCTGGTTTTCCAAGATAGTAATATCCAGAGAATGTGACAAAATCCAGCATCTAAGGGAATTCATCCAAGACTTAGGCTCTTACAGCATGGGGGCACATAAACAAATGTCCAGAATTCTATAAATCATGTAGTTGAACTTGTGGACTGTTATTCTAAAGTCCAATTCAAGTGGTTTCACACTTGTTTTGAGCTAGTTTTAAAGTTCATTGTTTTTTCTATCCAATCTCACATAAACGTCCAATGCTGGCAATGCAAGAAGAAAATATACTATTTATAACATCAAATGTGGGTATAATGGAAGGTCAGAAATGGCTACTATTAGATTTAGTTAATTAAAAAGTTGAGTTCAAAGTCAACATAGTTGGATAGGTTTACAATATTTTTTTAAATAACTCCTTCAAATAGTCATTATAAAAATAAAATGCTCCTCTCAAAATGGTCATTTTCATACAGTGCTTAAAGGTGGTCAGCTTGCTATCTTGACTGATGTTTTGAAGCTCAGGAATATTACAAAGCATTCTTATTCTGTAACAAAGTCTAGTTCTTTCCTCTATTTTTCCCATAAAAACCTCCACGAACATTATCCACAAACAATCCCCAAGTAAGAGCAGAGATTTAGAACTTGAACATCAGAATAAAAATACATAAATACTATTTTTATTTAGAATTATAATCATTGCAAAACAAAAATAATAGGCAAAAAGCTCTCAATTTTTGAGCAGTTTCCCAGATGTTGACAAATAACATTTTCATTTTTAACAACCTAGCATGTTCAAATACTATTTTATTCACTTAATAATCCTGAAAACTTTAGTAGCCTTGCTAGGCAAAAGGCTTTGCCATGGGAAAAATTTCCTCTAAGTCAATTTCTCCACAACCTCTACCTGCATAAACACTTTTAACCTGCAGCACCAGGAAACAAATATAAGCTAATTAAGGTGGCTTACCCACTTAGATGGGAAAAAGGGAGAGGTTACTTTGCATTTACTGCAGAAAGGACATGGGCCAGGTTAGCACTAAGGAGCTGACAGACAGCACTTGCTACCCTTCTGTAATTTATGCAAAGCCTGGATAACAGGATATAAAGTGTCAAGTTTTAAAACACCAGGGTTGGTGTTCAGACTCTTGCCTTAATTTATGATGTTCCATCAAGAACCTCCTTAGCCACACAAAAAATTAGCGAAAAATGTTAAAATTGCAGTACCAAAAGAAGAAATACAAATCTGTAAGCCAAAATAATGAACAATTTTTTCTCTCCTTTTTATTTTCCTATTCCAGAAGAACTGCAAGTCAGAAAAAATCATGATTGTTTGTACATCCCTCTGCACATAATTACTACTATTATTGTACATTTATAATATGCTATATTAGATATACAAGGTCATCTGCTAAACAAAATTAGTTTACTGACAGGAAGCTAACACCCACTTACCTTTAACTGAGCTCAGAATGCTTGTCTTACCAAAGCCTGTAACTCTCCAAGTGCAAGAGTTTTAATTCATACAACTAGCATAAAAATCCCTCAGACAACAAAACACCAAACTTCAGTATATTCTCCACACGTTGCTCTAATATCTCTTGCTTATTTAACTGCCTAATGTCAGAAGAAAAATCCAGATCACATACACTTGGTAGGAAGCATTTTTGTTCCCTGAAGTCACAGATGTTTATGCTGCACCTTGTATGAGCAGATATAAGAAACCAACAAGTAAATCTTGACTTTATTAGCCTCATCTTGAGATATACATCCTAACTGACCATGAGAAAGACAATACTTAATGTATTTCATGCTACTGTGACATCATTATGATAGATGCTTATCTGATGGAAACCAAACAGGGAACACAGTAACACATCTCTCCAAAATGACTGCTCTGTACACAACAGCTTTCCCCAGCTCCCAAATTACATTTACAATACAAGTAGGTTTTACCTATCCCATCTGACTATGAAATGAAATTAAAATCTTTCTCGTGCTTCAATACATTCTTCTTCTGTGCTGCCATCTAAATGCAACCTATACCAATAACAGTTATGAAAATCTGATTTCTTCCAAAGCCAGACAATTGAAGCTAACTAATAATGAAATTTTTTTAAAGGGGGCAGGGGGGAAACACTGGCAAAAATTTTTACAATAAAAATTTTAACAGATATGCAAACAATCTCGGTACTCTTTATTCTCTTCAATTCAAAGTTATTCTATATAGTATGAGCATTGTGATTTCTCTCTACCATATAACACTCTTTAACCTTCAAATTAAATACTGCTGAAGGTGGTCACAGAAATCTGGGGTTCAAAGCCCCCAAAAGTTTTAAGCCATTTCAGATGTACAGGTATTAAGGATTTTTACCCCTATCAATTTAGTTTGATTAGTATCACAAGAAAGCAAGCAAAAGCTTTACTACAAAGGTTAATGCAGTATTTTGTTTGAAGACTGGCAATTAAAATATCAAACATTTACCAAGAAATGACAAAACAAAACAGCCCACAGATTTCTAAAAACACTGGACAAACTGGAACACTACAGTTTTAGTCACAGATATTTATTTCTGGCATTCTGAAAACTTAATACAAATTAACCGTAAGGAATATGAAGGTATCTAATGAAACCCGCATGTCCAATTTAATATAAAATCAGTAAATTTGTATTCCTTGCTAGGTATAAAACCCAGCAAGTTCCAACATTGTTTGCTACTAATTTTCTCCTGTTTTAAATTCTCAAACCAGAAACTGCAGGAAAAAGTAGCAGCCTTGCTCTCTAAAATAATTATTCTAACATAATAGAAGGCAAAATGCCACAGCATTCAACTCACACTGTAAAAATACTTTAAAAAATTTTAATGACAAATAATTAAATTTAAAATCTAGTTT